AAAGAGCATACGGTCAATATCTTTACTAATTTTCTTATCCAGATGTAAGGAGAGAGCAGGCTATGTTAATCGGGATATCCCTTCAGCTTTAGTAATTAACACTCTACCTTTCAACGACAAGTCCCTTTGCAGCCACTGGTTGAACTTTTTTCGGGTTTTCTGTATAATTGGAGTGAAGTTTGAAGAGCATCTTGATTTTTGGTCTTTGGATATTAACAGTCCCAAGTATGTGACTTCTTGTTTAACAGAAATATTACAGATAGTATTTGCAGGGCAGTCTTTAATTGCTAGTAACTCACACTCTAAAAGTCGACAAATGCAGCTTTAAATACATTTTCCGTGTACCCTCAAGGCATTACCAGTGTCACGGGATCCAGCCAATCAGAAAGCTAGAAAAAAGCCAAAGTGGGCGGGTCCACGGGGCCTGGGGAGTGATAAAAAACACAGCTGAGACTGGGCTCGAGCAGGTGGGAGCGGTACGCATTTCTCAGGTGAGTTGAGGGTTTACGTAAGTAGCACGCGCTGTTTTAACAGGATACGCTTTGTAGAAGTGCTGTCTTGTGCCAGCGCGATATGTAGGTTAGTAGTTAATGTGCTGTTAGCTAAATTATAAAAACTCTTAAGTGTGTTTATGTTCCTAGAGAATACAGGTTTAATGACACAAAAGTGTTAAGGCTGCTTCCGGTGTGATATAGTCGTAACGTCCCCCAGAGCTCTTTGTACAAAGTGAAGTTTGAATTATGTAAACTGCTTTCAAACGAGTTTTGTAGAGTGGGGAGGAGGAGGCGTGATGCTGCTGGCTGGATGAGCGCTCACAGGCCGTGGAGATGTGAGTGAGCACAGGTGTGAGGTTCTGACGGACCTCAGGGTTGGTGGTTCGGATCATTTTCAGAAATCTGGGCACTCGTTGACCCACATCCTGCCATTAGCTTAGCCGCAGTCCGAGGCTAAGGGGCTTTGCGCTTTTATCTCACCTGCTGTCACTTTTTTTAAACATCAGACATTTAATTTGAACGTACATTCTCCGTGTCCAAAAAAACCCAACAAAACAAAACACATTCTCCGTGTCCAAATAAACAAAACACATTCTCCGTGTCCAAATAAACAAAACACATTCTCCGTGTCGGTACTCTTTTTGGTTTCATTGTATTTCATTTTCTAATGTACTCGCTACCACCTCACGCTGGCACGTTTAATATAGATGGATGGACATGCTGGGCTTTCTTTTGTTTGGTTTTAGACGCAGGTGTGGGTTTTGAACTCTGATTATTTGCAAACGTGTCACGCCCTGACACTGCCGTGTTTTTGGAGTTTGCCTGATCATCAGTTTTTGAT